TCCCTCCCCACAGTGGTATTTTTCCTAAGAGCATGTCTTCCTATTTGGAGATCATGTACCCAGGCTGGGGTGGAGGAAGCCAACTTTCTATGAGTCAGTGGTCATGAGGGGAATCTGGGAACCATGGTTTAAGACACATTTCCTCTCTATGCATCAAAGCCCACAGTACGGGTACAACAAAGTGGTGAGAAGGCAGCGGCGTGGCCTCAGGGGCAGTGCTGTAGCTTCTGTGCCTTAAACCAGCCCTCTTCCCCCAAGCTCACCAGGCCCTCCCAGGGGGAGGACTCACTTTTAGGCTCCGCCCAGTGGCTGGTTATTTCCATTCTTTGAGGCTGCAGGGTTGAAGTCCTCATGTTCTGACTGGCTTCGGCTGGCTCGGAGCTGCCTCTCTGCTCCTGGGGTCACCCTTCCACCTTCCGGCCTGCGATGAGGAGTGTAGTCTTTCTCCTGACCTCACCTGGACTTCACTTTCTGCTGCTTTTAAAGGGCTCAAAACCTCAGACTAACTAGTTAATCTCTACTTCGAGGGCAGGAGCTTGAGGCTGCAGGCTCACATTTCCATGGACCAGGGAGAGGAGAGAGATGACAGGTCTCTCCTTCTTTTTCATCCAGCCTTGGCTTCAGCCCATGGGATGATACCACTAAATTTAGAGTGGCTCTTCCCTTAATTAAACCTCTCTGGAGACACACCCCGAGGTGTTCTCCCCTAGGTGATTTCAAAGCCAGTCGAGTTAATAATGAAAACGAACGCCACCTCCATCAATCCCATGCTTTTCCAAACTGGCCAACCTCCAAGCTGCATGAAGAGGGGATGAAGAGCCACCCCCTTAACAGAGCATCTCCATGAATGGACACCACTGGGAGAGAAGTGCTGGTTCTGCTTTCCACCCCAGGGCATGCTGGTTGAGTATGAAGAAATAGTCAAGAGCTCTGTCTTTCTTCTTCCAGCAGTGTGAGTCACCTAACTTGGCCAACCATTCCTCTCCCCAGCAAGTCTTGGGACTGATCCACAAAAGGACATAAGCATCTGGCACATGGCAGGAACTCTGCTGGAATGTGCGTCACACCCACAGTCATGCTGTTAAGCCACCTGCGTGACCTTCTGAGGACTGTTCTCTTCGGAAACACCACTCCATCCTCTCTGGGGCCACCCCATGTTCTCACTTGATCTTCTTGCATCCCTGTCCCCACTGGGCTGCCCATGACCACTGCTGACTGTGAACTCAGACAGACGCCCCAAGTGTTTTCTCCAGGCAGCTTCATCTCCTCGTGCAGATCGCTGGTCAGGTGTGGGTGGTGAAGTCCTGGACCTCAGGAGGGCTGCAGCACTGCCTAAGATGGGAGCTTCCAGAGGTGGCTCCCACATGAGTAGTGGCAACAGAGGCAGGTAGGCCTCCTAGCAGTAGACCCCTGGACTGAGAAGGGGTTCTGGGTCCCCAGGGACCTCATCCCTAGGAAGAGCCATGCTTGCCTGTCTCAACACACAGCAGCTACGACCTTTCAGCTGTCTCTCCAAATAGGTGTGCCAGTAATGGATATTATCATTTCTTTGAAGCTTTAGAATAAATGAGAAGACCCAAGATTTAAGTGTTCAGGACAGAAACAATTTGGTGACCTGGTTATTGCCAGGGAAAGACACAGGAGGTTTAAGTCTTATCCCCAAAAAATTCAAAGAAAATTGTATAACCCCCACAGTATTCATCACCAGCTTCAGCCCTGTCAACACTTTCCCAGAGTCTTACAAGAAATCTCACCTTTTAAAACTAGAGTATTTTTAAAGTCATTCCCCACCCCCCAAATATGACAATTTACTATAAATATTTCCATTCAAAGCCCTGACCATTGGACCATACCACTCCCTAACAAAAGGTCCAGTGGTGCCGTATTGCCATCTGATACCTGTCACACTCAAGTAAGTCCCCTGCCCTTTTCACAGTTGGTCTGTTCCATCACAACCAAGTCTCATAGACTCAATCCAATTACATCTTTTAATTTCACTGGTGCTCTAACATCATCCCTTTTCTGTCCCTCTTCCCTTCCTCCCTCCTCTCCCCTTTTCTCTCCCTCTTTCCCAGTGAATTAACAAATCAGGTTGTTCTGCCCAGTTCACGAACCCCAAAAGACCAAGAATAAACAGACTCCGCTGTAAATACGTGAGGTTTTTTTTATTGTAAATTACAAGCTGCAGCTTGGGCCCACACACCCCCCCCACTGCCAAAGCGGTGGGAGCTGAGCACGCATGCCCAGGTTAGTTGGGTCATTTAAAGATTCTGGTCCATCCCAGCATGCCCAAGGCAGGGACGATTCCTGCCTGGCAAGCATCTATTGGTCAAAATGCTACATTTTGAATCAATTGGCTATAGGAAGGTTCCCAGACCATTAATGACCTGATGTCCATCCCTAGGGGGATGGTCCAGTTTCCTAGCAACTGTATCTCTAGTGGGTGGGGAAAGAATGCAGTGAGGTGGCTCTTCCCTTCATGGCATTACTGTACTTTACCTACCTAGTTCAGGCCTTAATAATAGCTGCTAATTTATGTTTTGGTCTCTCAAGGTCACTTGTCCTACAAAACACCAATGAACCAGGATTCCTGGAAAGAAACTCTCTGAAAAGGCTGACTGAGGGATTAAAACCTCAGTAACTGTAGAGAGGCTGGATCCCTCCAGGGCCAGAGCCTAATTACTATTTATCTTGGGCTATCTTTAGTCCATCAAATAGCCATTCATTGCCCCTCTCTGGTGGACTTAACAATCTGATAAACAAATTAAAATGTTGGTAATATAGTAACAAAAACCAATGATCCACCAATCAAAGGGTTAATGATGCTATCACATAGCATCCAAGGCCTACAGCTCAGAGTCCTCTGTTTACTGTAATTGTTGGGCTATATTTAAAAATACACCACGCACGTGACAGATCTGGTATGAAATTTATTTATCGGATGGAAAGAAAGGAAAGGGGGCAAACACACACACACGCAGAGGGGGAAGGGTACACCGACAAAGAGAGGGGAGAGAGCAGGAGAGGAGCAAGAAAGCAAGAGAGAGGGAGAGAGGGGGAGTATCAGATCAGCCACTAAGTTCCTGGCCCAGATGATGTCATAGGACACAGGTGCTGACATAGGACTTTGTCAGGACCCTAAAGGCAGGCCAGTTGAATTGCCTGCACAACATAACATTCCTCCCTTTTGTTTAATTAAAAAAAAATAGCTAGGGAGGGGTGACATGATTGGGCAGAAGTCTGCACAATTGATAATGGTCCTCTGAACATAAGCACAAGAGCAAGATGAGAAATTTGCTTACTTAATAGCAATGATTTTGAAGCAGGCTGTATGTTTTTTTGGTTCCGACCTGTTGGCACAGTCTCCTCCTGCTGGGTGTAGTGCAGCATCCAAAGGTCCTAGACCAAGCCAACACACCGGTGGTGGGGAGTAGCCCAGCATCCTTCCTAGGCTGCTCGGTTATGAGAGGCCACCCACAGAGGGACAGGTGCTGACAACGGAGGACAGCAAGACACGGCAGGTGCAAGGCGGGGCAAATGAGAGAAAGTGCAGGTTCCAGCCATGTGTGGTTGAGTGGTGGTTAGTGATAGGTGGAACAGAAGACAAATCTGTAGTTTGGGGTAAGAGGTCCTGGCGTGACCAGACCAGACATTATCAGGAGAGCTCTTCCTGGCCAATGCACCAATGTTGTTATTTTTTAAATGATGCACACAACAGATATTATATGAAAGAGTTTATTCAGGGGAAGAGAAGCAGAGTTAGGACCTGAGTGAGCCATGAGGGCAGAGTCAGAGAGAGAGGGGCAGAAATGAGAGGAGGGGGTGCCCGGACAGAGAAAGGGGGGAAGAGAGATGGGGGGAGAACAGGTTGGTCTTTTTTACATCTGTGTGCAGCTGTACCATGTCTGCCAGGTGCACCTGCCACACATCTGGCGGGGGACACATGATGACACCATAGGTTACTAGGCAACCCAGAAGCAGACTGCCTATAACCTAACAGTAATTGCCTACTTAATGCTTCCACCAATGCATTTTATGTCTTGAATTATGCTTTCTTTGTTCTGCTATTATACCAATGTGCTAAAACTGCTTTCATGTTGGAACATAGAATTTGGGGTGTCCTAAAACTGTGTTTCTGAGCCTGGCCAGAGTCACACATAATTGGCTCCAGAATAAACTTTTTCCCTTTGAGGTGAAAGCTGTGCTTGTTCCACCCCTGGCAAACAGTAGCATATATTGAGCAAATGGTTCTAATAAGGGACAAGCTAAGTAATAGAGTTTTGGTCCTTTCCAGTGCACATGCAAGCTGTAGTCCATGGATGAGGCGTTCTGTCTCGGTATGTGAGGGAGCCTCGGGAGGAAGGAAAGAACTGTAGATACCTAAACAGGACAGGAGGCGTCCTCTGATCACTCTCAGCTCCGCGACTTCCCCAAGAACACTGGCCAAACACTTGCACCCGCATCCTCTAAGCTCTCCTGCACACACTTTTATTAGTTTATTTTCTTGTGTTGCATTCTGAGAAAACTAGAGGTGACAGAAGGTACAAAACCAAGCCACGCTCATCGGGTCGTCCACAGCCAGCCCGCTGACACAACGCGCTTACGGCGGACATAGCAGAGATGGGGCCTCGGTTCCAGATCCTCCCAGGGTCCGCAGAACAGAGCGTGGGCGTTGGGCCAGCACCAGCTCCAGTTCCTGGGTCCCGGCCAGCAACTGGCTGCCTCCAGCCCCGCCCCCACGTTCTTCCTCCCCGTTGCCTATCCTCCGCCCTGTACCGCCCACAGAGCTTCCGTCACGCGCTTACTTCACCTTTCACCTCCTCATCTTCCGGGCTCCCATAAGCCTCAGTCCCCGCCCACAGGGGGAAGAGAGACCGATACTTCGTCATGCCTCTCAATTATTGGTGGACATGATCTGTCCATCACAGCAACAGCGGTCACGGATTAGCATGGAAGCCGCAGTAGGTGGGGAAGCCGGAGTAGTGGCTTCCGCGCATGCTCAGTGTGGTTCAGTGACGCAACCGCGGGGTTAATCATGGCGGCGAGGTGCATGAGGCTGGCGCGGCGCAGCCTCCCGGCGTTGGCGCTGTCGCTCAGGTAAGGCAGTGCTGTTCCTCCTCAAAGCTGAGAGGTTTGGCCTCTGCCTTAGTAGCAGGTCTGGTCCCCACAGCTCGTGCCCGTGCGGCCTGGAGCCTCGTCCCATCAGCCGGGTCCCCGTGCCTGGCCGCAACGCGCGAGCGTCCAGGGGTTTGCCGGGCGACGCTGCACGAACTGGGCTCAAGGAGCTGGGGCACTGGGTCGTAAACGTGGGGATCTGGGCGATGCGTCAGGTGGAAGCTTGTCTGGCGACACACGGCACTCTTCACGGACATGGGGCACCACCCCTCCTGGGATTGCAAAAGACAACCCCAGAAGCCGGAGACTTGCCCAAGGTCAGGCAGCCTGGCCGAAGCCCGTGTGCGCAGGGGCTAGGGTTGCTAATTCCGGTAGTTGCAGTGCGCAGTTCAGGGCCAGGGCCAACTCAAGCAAGTTCGAGACCAGCATGTGTGCTGCCTGGTGTGTGGCCTTTTTCCACTGTCCCTCACCTTCCTTCACTTTTGTCCTCGGGGAATGTGAGGTCCAAGGAGCAATAAAGCCAGTGTGTGCAGTTTATTTAGACAAATGCACATTCTTTGCCATCTCTAACCCGTGGCTTCAGGTTTTTGAATCACACCTTCAAAGTTAGATGCTTTGTATCTTTACCTTGTTCCCTGCTAGAACCAAATTCTTGGTTAATAAAAACTGACTTTACCTTTTGGAGCCTGGGCAGAATGGGAGCTGGTGGCAAGTGGATAATCTCTTTAACAGGTATTGAGATGAAAGCAGGCTTACATTATGCAAAGAGCCGGGAGCAGTGAGCCTCCTGATGTCACAGGGGACGCGTTTCTTATCTGTGGTGCTGTATTTGGAGTTGTCGGCCCCCCAATCCCCAGCTTGGTTTATGTCTGTCCCTGGAGTTGTGGTTTTGAAGAAAGGTGCTCTAGTATGGAAGGCCAGAGAGCTATGTGGCTGCTAGTCTTAACTCCCATAGTATCCCTAAGCTTGGCTTCCCTCTTCCCTGTGGGACTTAGCCCTCGGAATTCCTTACAGGAAAGGATCTGTACAGCAAAGCGGGCCTGTTGAAAGGCTGTGATTGACACTCCCAGCGGTGGAAATAATTCATAGTGAAGGCAGGCTTCACATTTTATAGGTTTATATATTCTTAGCTTAATTTTTTTCAAAATTACTGATTTTTTAAAAACTTTTATGTGGGTGTTTTGCTTGCATGTATGTCCATGCAACATGTACATGCCTGGAACCTTCAGAGGTCAGAAGAGTATGTCAGATACTGTGAAACTGCAGTAGCAGTTGCATGATTGTTAGCTGTCATGTGGCTGCTGGAAATCAAGCTCACATCCTCTACAAGAGTAGCGTGTGCTCTCAACCACTGAGCCAACTCTCCAGCCCAGATTCTTAGCCTTTTTAAAAGCATGAAAGTAAAAATAAGGTCATGGGGGGGGGCTCAGTGGTTAAGAGCACTGGCTGCTGCTGTGGAATCTGGGTTTAGTTCCCAGCACCTACACTGGTTGTTGGGTCACAGCTAGCTGTAACTGTAGCGCCAGGCGATCCCACACCTCTTCCCTGCCTCCTCGGGATCACTTCCAGGATTCGTTTGGACTTCTCTTTCCATTTCTTCTGCATAGCACTCATACTCCTATTTCCATTCCTCTGTCTAAATGATTTCTGGTTCCTGAAATGCATCTGTAAGTCACCTGACCTGCAGAGCCCTCTGTGGACCTGCTCACAAGGGCACTTACTGCAGGCCCAGCACTCAGCACTTGGTAGACTGAGGCTAGAGGATCGCAGGTTTACTGCCAGACTCAAACTCTGAATAAATATACATCAAAAAGAAAACCAGGGGCTGGAGAGAAGTCTAAGTGGCTAAGAGTGCTCCTGGCCTTGTAGAGGACCCAAGTTTACTTTCTAGCATCCTCACTGGACAAACACAACTGCCTGTAATTCCAGCTCCAAAGTATCCAGTGGCTTTGGCTTTCATGAACTGCGACACTCAACGTCGCATACACTTACACAGACACACACAAACACAAACACAACACAGGGCCAGACAAACATGCACATAATATAATAGCAATTCTTTGTTTGTTTGTTAAATCAGCTTGCTGGGCATTGTGGTGCACACCTTTAACTCCAGCACTTGGGAGGCAGAGGCAAGCAGAGCTCTGTTGAGTTTGGGGCAATCTGTTTTGCATAGTGAATTCCAAGCCAGCCAGGGTTACACAGTGAGGCCCTGACTCAAAAGAAAAACAGTCTCCCTGCCCTGGGCCTTCTGCCTAGGCCATCATTTTTGGGTGTTTACTTTTTCTGTCTAATGATGAGATTTCTGCTCAGGCCACTGTCATCAGCAGTATGTGTAATGGGCCTTGTGCTATGAAAGGAATCTAGGTGCTTTGACTCAAGGAGACTCCTTAGAGTACATGAAGATGTGGTTAGGGGACACAACTAGGTCGAAGACTGAAGATTGTACGTAGTCACATGTCAGTTAACAGCAGAACTTTCTGTGAACTGTCTGTCAGGTGATCCTGTTAGCTAGTGGATATCAGAGTGCATTAACGTAGCCTAACGGGACAGCACGGCTACCTATGCCATGTGCTGTTAAAGACTGTTAGGATGGGGGCAGAGGTAGAGTGATGGATCAGTGGTTGAGTGCTTCTTTTCCACAGGACCCAAGTTTAGTTCCCAGGACTCATATTGGACAGGTCACAACCACCTGTAACTCCAGCGCCAGGGGATCTGATACCCTCCTCTGGTCTCGTAGGACATTTCACTCATGTGGCGCATGCTCATACATATATACACACACATAAGAAGGCACCCACATTCTTTGTGTGTGTTTGTTGCAATGTGAGCACATGGGGAAGGCCCAAGGTCATCATCAGGTATCTTTCCTCTGTCCCATCCTCATTTATTTCTTTGTTGGTGGACGAGTGTGGAAGTCAGAGGACAACTTGCAGAAATTAGTTCCCTCCTTCTACCAGATAGGTCCTGGGGACTGAACTCCTGTCATGACTGGCTTGGTGGCAGGCCCCTTGACCCAATGAGCCAGCTTGAAGCTCATGATTTGACTAGGATGGCTGGCCAATAGCCTTCAGGAATCTCCCTGTCTCAGCCATCTCAAGACTAGGGCTGCAGGTATGCCTCCATGCCCAGCTTTCTTATGTGGGTTCTGAGGGTGCAAACTTGGATCTTTGTGTGTGCACTGCAGGCACTTTACCTACTGAGCCGCTTCCCCAGTTCCATAGCACATTACTTTTTGTGTGTCATAGTTGCTGTTGTTAGGTCTGAGATAAGGCTTTTCTAGCAAACAGTTTGAAATTACCCACATTTCTAATTTTTGTTTTAAACATTTACTTTGTTGGGGAAGAGGGTCACACATTGTATAGTGCGCCTGTGTGGAGAGTGGGACAGCTCATAGAAACTGTCGCACTGTCTTTAACCTCTCTTTTATTTGGGATTCTTTAATACCACTCGCTTCCAACCCCCCAAACCTAGGTAGAAGAGCAAAGGGCAGTGGGGAGAGGGGTCTGTGGTCCCTCTGATTGGGGTTATACCAATCTCCAGCAACAGCAGATGCAGCAAGCAGTCCTCCAAGCCATTGCTTTGAAACATTTCTCTCCATCTGTCTCCAAGCCGCCTGTCTCTGGTCACCACCACTGCACACCACACTTTCTCTTTCTGTGTTCTCATATTTTATCCTCAGAGGCCTAGACTATGCCCCTCTCTGTGCCCCGTGTGCAGGCAGTTACCAGCTAGCAGTGATTATACCCCACAGGAGAAAATTATCAGCTGTGGACAAAATAAAGCCCAAACTCAAATCCTACACTTGGGATTAAAACAAAAACATATTTATATAACATAACTGAGTTTGTAAAGAAACCAAAACTTTCATTACAGAGAACTGGCTTTCTACCATGTGGGTCCCTAGGAATAAAACTCTGGTTGTTAGGCTTGGTAGCCAGTGACCTTACCTACTGAGTCATTTCAAAGGCCCAGATTTCTAAAATCTCTTGTGTTTAGCATGCCAAAAGGCTGTCTTCACTTATGTGTGGGCTTTTCCTTAGGCCTTCTCCTCGCTTGTTGTGCACAGCTACAAAACAGAAGAACAATGGCCAGAACCTGGAAGAGGACTTGAGTCACTCTGAGCCAAAGACAGATCCACCCCCTACAGATAAGACAGATCCACCCCCTACAGATAAGACCCTCCTGGAAGAGAAGGTGAAGCTAGAAGAGCAGCTGAAGGAGACCACGGTAAGTACCCTCAGGGTATGCACACTGCTGGATTGCTGCCTACGTGGTCCACGTGACAGCTTCCAAGTCCACAGGTGATAGAGCAGAGCCAAAGGCTTTTAATAATTTGTCTACTCCCTGCTGCAGACCAGGTGGCACATTAACTGCCAAATAGGGACTAGAATGCAAACCTTCTGTGGCTTTGCTTCTGACCTGTGAAGTCTCCATGTTGGCTATATGAGGAATACTTGGTGTGATTTAGCCGGGACTTAAGAATCAGGAAATTCTATGTACAGGAGTTTAATATGGGAGTCGGTATAACAATCATCACTCTTTGTTGAAAAGCAGGTACCAGTCAAGTTAAGTGTGTGAGCAGTTCGTGGCATCACTTATGTGGCTGGCACTGTGCTGAACTCTGGCAGTCTTCACCACAGTCCCTTTATAGATGAGGAAACTGAGACACAGAAAAGCCAGTGGAATTTCCCAAGTCACCAAGGCTACACCAGGACAAGCTGTCCTAGAGCCTTGCTCAGTGACTGCCTGAAAACTGGCGTCTGAGGTGTGGTAGAGACCTCTGGAGTCCACCCCTGGACATTAAGCTGGAGATGGTTAGAAATGGGTGGCTACAGGGACAGTGGAGAGAAGCAAGGCTCATCTCTGGCCCCAGTAATTTGGCTAGGTATGTGAGCAGAGCCACCTTGAGATTTCCTCCCAAGTATCTTCCTTCGTCTCCTGGGAAGCAGGGAACTGAGGTAGATGAACCCCACTGATGTGCCTCAACACCCTCAAGTTGAACAGGAAAGTAGCATTCTTCCCCAAGAGGTGATAAGCATCAGTACATAAGAAGGACCCTCTGGCTGTTTCCCACTGAGCTCTTGGGCAGGAGTCTGCTCACATTCCGTCTCCTGGAGATACCAGCACAGGTATAAAGTCCTCTTCATAAACTGTCCTGACAGGTTTTATTTATGTTCTGATTTGGAGTTAAATCATTTCAAAATCAGAAATGATTTCTTATACATTTGTAACTTAATTAAATTCCACCTCCTTTAGGAAAAATACAAACGAGCTTTGGCAGATACTGAGAATCTGCGGCAGAGAAACCAGAAGTTGGTGGAGGAGGCCAAGTTATATGGTGAGCACACATATGGGGAATGAGCAGGTTGCAGCTGTGGCGGTGATGGAGCTCCTGCTGCCTTCACCTGTTACTCCCTGTGGCCCCACTCCTTGCTTTGGGAACCTCAAGAGCACATTAAGCTAATTTCCTTTTCTACCTGTGCTTTCTTCCTTTCCTCCTCATTTTTAGCACATTTTACCTGCTCTTATCCCAGAAAAAGCCTTTGGCTGTTTTAAATTATTAAAGTACTGTGGTTCTATGGCATATGACTTGACCAGACATCATGAACAGTCCTGTGTGAGGAGCCCACACATTGATACTAAGTGCAGACCATCTTCTCGTCATGCAGGCATCCAGGGCTTCTGCAAGGACTTGCTGGAGATTGCAGACATCCTGGAGAAGGCAACCCAGAGTGTTCCAAAGGAGGAGATCAACAACAACCCTCATCTGAAGAGCCTATATGAAGGGCTTGTGATGACCGAAGTCCAGATTCAGAAGGTGTTCACAAAACACGGCTTGCTCAGGCTTGACCCCATTGGGGCCAAGTTCGACCCTTACGAACACGAGGCCTTGTTTCATACCCCTGTGGAGGGGAAAGAACCAGGCACTGTGGCACTAGTTAGTAAGGTGGGCTACAAGCTGCACGGACGCACGTTGAGGCCAGCTCTGGTGGGGGTGGTGAAGGAAGCTTAGCTGCCCTTCTCAGGGCTCTGGACTTTGTAAGTCACTTGCTAGAACTTGAAGGGCAGGCTTGTACTTTCTCATCTATGAATACATCTGACCCTTGCCCAGCCTTGTTGGAAATGTTAAGGAAGCTAAGCAGAACATGAAGCTGCTTGCACACTGTGCTGGTCACTGGGAGCCTGGTCACTGAGTTTAGCACCACCTACTTGAGAAGAGGGCCGGCAGGGCCTCAGGAGTAGAGTGACTAACATTGTATCTGTTCTACCGGGTGACTGATAAGTACTTTACACAAATAAAAGGTCTTTGGCTACATCTGCACTGCACAGTCTCCCTCTGAGTGCCAAGGCACTGGTGTCACTCAGCGTGGTGTTGTTCCCTCCAATGGAAGGGCCAGAGTGGGAGAACACTTGTTGCCAGCAAAACTAAGACTTCAAGAGCACAAGTTCCTTCCCAGGTAGGATTTAGCTGCTGTGAATGGTAGCCTTTGAGCTGGAAAATGAAGACATGAACTTGAACATTCTTAGCCTTATCCCTGTTTACACTCTTCTCAGTAATTATTAGTCTATGGCTAAGTCATTGCTAAGGACATTACATCTTATCAAGACAGACCATTTCTAATGTAAAGCTGAATAACTGGTGTGCTTCAGACGTTTCTACTTTGCAGGTTGTGGCTAAGAGGATTAAAAGGCTCATCTTTTTATCTTCCTATTTTCTGGTATTTAAATTTGTCATCTAATAAAGATCTGGTGAGCTCCTGAGGAGAAAGCCTGGCCAACTGGCTCACAGCTCTTCAAGCTTGGAGCTCCAGGCATGCAGCAAGGAAGCTTCCTAGGCCTGGACTGCACACCTTGTCTTTAGGGATAGTTACAATACAGATCGTAGGAGAAAGCCAAGGAGCCAAAGCCACAACACACATGGAAGAAGCTGACTTCTGGCACCCAGTAGCCAAACGACCCATTTCTCAGAGAGCTCAGAAAAAAGGCTAAGGAAATGGTGCTCTAAAGGAAGCTAGAGCGAGTAAGGGATTACATTGATTACACGTTGTACAGAAGCCAGAGCAGAACAGGTTAACCCGTAGAGATAGTATAGTCTGTTCTGTTATTAAATTTGAAAGGTATCAGTAATCCACCCAAAATTCAAGATTCCATCGTGACTAAGTTTTCCTCCTCTAAGCAGCCTTACACAGCAGAGGCAAATGTGCCTTTATGTTGGATAACTGCATATACCATCAGACTCCTATGGACACGTAGTCAGCCCGTTTCAGCTAAAGCTGCTGGGCAGCACAAAGCTCAGCAAGGTCTAGTCAGCCTTGTTCAAAAGTTCCATGTCAGACTGAAGAACAACTGTTAGAGGCTGGCGAGATTACTCAGCCAGAAAAGGCACCTGTTGCCAAGCCTGACAACCTGAGTTCTGTCTCCAGAAGCCCATGAAGGGGGCAGATTCCCAAAAGTTGTCTGCATAAGGTATTATGGACAGTGCATAGATTGCCAGTGCCTGCTGTTTTACTATAAAGCCACTTGCATACCCTGGTTTTGGTATCCTAGAAGGGAGAGTCCTGGAACAGTCAGGATTGACCGTAGGGTAAATGTAGTGGTATTTGCAAATTCATCAGTCAGCACTAACTGGAGACATGCACACATTTCCCCTGGAAATTCCATGTCTTGCTCAGCTACATGTAAGTCCAATGACTGGAAGTTGCAGGTAGTAGCTGGGTAAGTTGTGTAAGTGTGGCTGACCAGAACCTTAGAGGCAGCTGGACATGGGCCCTGTTCCATGGAAATCATCTTTGGCCCTTTCAGGATCAGACTTGCCAAGGATGTGTAGCTGCGTGGCCCACAGGGTCTTTTGCTTTCCTGAGAGCAGCTTTCCACCTTGGGTCAGAAGCTGGCTTGACAGCAAAGTACCTACTGTGAAGTTGGAAGATCAAGAAGTAACCAGACACAACTGTTCTCAACAATTTAATGTAAAAGGATAATAAAAATGGTAGGGTTTCAGTTCTTAATACATTCTTGGAATGTTGGCCTCCCAGAGAGCATTATTTCAAACAGTTGAAGAATTATCTAACTTTTCTGACTCAAAGACAGTTTGTTTAAATTTGGAAAGACTTGGTTCCACGGGGTTGTGGTGGCTTATTTATCATGAGAATTAAATAAATCATGTCAAGGTCTGAGCTAACAAAAAGTAATATGACAGAAACAGCTGGGGCAGACAGGAGAGCAAACAATCCTAATATTACTTTTCCCTTGTAACAATATTAATACTTGAACATAAATTAATTATACATTCATTATGGTGTTTAAAACAGTCACGCCCAAATAAATTCATATCATCAAAAGATGTACACACACTATAGGCCTGCTTAAGCACAGCTTTTTGCCCGACAGCCCTTGGCCACATGTTGACAGGATCCTCTGCTTCTCAAGCTAATGTAAGTCTGGCTATCATTTTGTAGAAGAAACACTGAAACTTCAAACCTCACCAGGCTGGGGCTCTGGTGTTGGAGACACCAAGACAAAACCAGTGGTTCCCAAACTTGAGCTTGCATCCCAGCCACCTGGAGATTTTGAAAACACCCTGCTAGTCCCTGTTAATGAAGCCCCAAATCTCTGTCTCAAGAAAGTCAGTTACATGGGGTATGACCATTTCTGACAAGTGCCCAGGAACCCAATTTGAGAACCACTGGCTTAAGTAGGCACTGAGCATCACCCCATTGCTGTTCTGTGATACCAGCGACTGTCCACTATTAACCTGCAGGGGGCAGTGTGGAGCTGGTCCTTTGACACCATTGTTCAGCATCTGGTATCAAGAGAAATCTGGGCCTGGCTCACAGGGCACTTCCCTGCTAGCCCACAATGCACTTTACAACTAAAGCCATATATAGTATATTTGAAATGTTTTATTTAATGCTGAAAAACTTACCCTAGGGGACAGAGGATGTAAAATGGAAAGGCACGTCATCAAGTCGTCCTTGGAAATGAGTTGTTTTTCTTCAAAATAACTTCTTTCACTTCCGAGCCCAAACACTCTATGAGGTAAACAGGCTCTTGTACCTCAGGGACAGGGGGCAGGGGCTGTGGTCACTCCAGGACTCTAAAGCAGGGTCTGGGCGTGAGAACCCTGAGCAGCCGGAAGACAAACGCCTTCCTCAAGTTTAGAAGGAAGGTACCATATGAGTCCTTGAAGGAGGCCTCAGAAACAAGCTTTTAGGGCTGGGAAAGAGCCACATCTGAGTTTGTTTCAAGATCACAAACAAAAGCAGCGCACAGGCTCCAAGGCACAGGCAGGGTGCTCTGCACTCCCCAGGGCCCCTGCCATACCCTAACCAGCTCACTGAGCTGGGCTAGCTAGCATGTCCTATATTTAGTGAAAGGGAATCTGCAATGGTGGTAGAAGTCCTGAGCAGTTACTGCCCCAGTTCAGCACTGCACACTCCGCCTTGAACTCAAAAAGGTCTTGGTTTTAAGTCAGGTCTCCTATAAAGGTTCACAGCAGAGAAAGGCAGCCCCCACTTGACCCTGTGGCCCTTCCATTAACTGCTTTCCCAGTCACAGGGGACAAGAATGGGTCAAGAGAGCCTGCCCAGGCAGCCCAGGCTGGGCCAGGCTAAGATGAAGCAAGCACTGTTGAGGGTCTGGAATGGCTGTTATCAGGTAAGTGGAAGCTCATGTGGTCACTGTGTGCAAATGAGGGGCTCATCTTAAGTGGCTCAGTGCGGAGCGGGCCTGGTGGTGGTCTCTGGCCTCCACTGCAGAGGATTCTGTGCACAGCCTGCCTCCCGGTAAAGTGCGGTGTGCCAGGGCTGTGCTTGGGGGTGTCGGCTGGGGGGCAGCAGTGGGCTCAGCGAAGAGGTGCCAACAACAGCCCACCTGAGTAAAGCTTGTGTCACCAGGGAGAAGCTGATGGCAGGAACACACAGCTCCTGGCTCCCATAGCATAACAGCTTCTGAACCCAAATGCGGAAAGGCTCATGAAAAATAGGGGACTCGTCCAAGGCGGGGACAGTCTTCAGAGGAACACAAAGGCAAGCTGTCTTCTGAAAGGATTACCTTAGGACTAAGTTAAAAAGACACACGCTTATCTCCCCCATAGTCGATTTAAGATTGCTACTATTGCTTCTTCCAGAGGGTCATGGAAAAAATTTAAGCCTTGAAAAAAGAATTCAATTTGTTTAAAAGAGCAACAATGTTGGGGGAGACCCCAGGTCATTTGGCTCACAAGCTGCTTCAGCAACATCTGGCCTCAGGAAGCATCCCTAGATATCCACCCACTTTCTGTGAGGAAATTTAAAATCCTTTTCTTTAGGACCTTGTCCAGATAACTGGGAAGGCGACTTTTAGAGGGGATCCCTTGTCGCTTCTGGAGGTGATCTTTAATTATAATAGTCTTCACAGTCACATAGCGTGCAGGACTCAAGTTCAAAGAGCTACAGAGAACCTTCTCCCGATCTGACAGCAGCTCAAACCCAGGAAGATTCTCAATGGCTGCAAACTCGCTGTCTTTGCCATCCTCCTTCCCCCTTTTGGAGCTGGCCAGGTTTTTGTTCTCCTTCCTTCTCTCCCGTTTGTGTCTGGCAGCCTCATACTCGGCTGACTCTTCCATCTTCGTAATGCCGTTGCGCCGGTACCGCTGTAGCTCTCTGATCTTGGCGCGAAGCATCTTCTCTTTGTGCATGTTTTCAAATAAATCGTCAAACTCTTTGCAGGACATGAACTGGTAGAGTGGCCGCAGTTTCAGCCGCAGCTCCTTCTCCTCCTTGGTGATCTTTCGCTTCAGTGTCTTCTCCTTCTCCTTCTTGTCCTTGCCCAGGAAGGCTGGCACCAGGTTGTAATCTCGGGCAATGTTCTTCCGGCGCTGCCTCTCCTTCAGCTTTCGCACATACATGTCTACGTGTGCACGCTTAAGCTCAATCTCCACATCATCGTCATCATAGTTCACGGAGAGCCCACTGATGAGTGTCTCAGCATCCTGGTCATACTCGATCTCATAGTCATCACGAAGTGGCATGTAGCCCAGCTGCTGCTGCTCAGCCACAGAGATGTCCAGAGGGGGCAAAGGTGTGGTGAGGCTGGGTGAGAGAGGGCCCCCACTGGGGCAGGTATGATCTGTCACCCGGTTGGGGATGGTGTCAGGGATGCAGGCTTTGCCCAAGTTTCCATGGATGTACATGCTAACGTAGTGTTCCATCACTTCCTGAGGAGTCCGTGAAGCACCAACATGCGCAGCCATGTCTTCCTATAATGACAAAAGCCAGACCATCAAAACACTTGACTCAAGTTCCTCTCACCATTTCACAAAGCTTTATTTGGGCTACT